GACACACCATTCCATTGTGGTGTACTTGGCGGAGTGAGTTGTGAAACAATTCCACATCCTCTTAGATGATCACTAAATTCCTGGCTCAAATATTCACCACCTCGATCTGATCGAATGGCCTTAATTGTTTTGCCAAGTTGATTCTGAACTTCATTCTGGAATTCTTTGAACTTTTCAAAAGCTTCATGTTTATGCTTCATTAGGTACACATAACCAAACCTACTGAAGTCATCAGTGAATGTTATGAAGTACTGAAAACCTCCCCTGGCCATTGTTGACATTGGGCCACATACATCCGAGTGTATGAGGTCCAATAAACCATGAACTCTTTCACCTTTACCAGTAAATGGTGACTTGGCCATTTTACCCAATAAACAAGATTCACACTCCTCGATTGATTCAAAATCAAAAGAGTCAAGAAATCCACTAGAATGGAGTCTTTTAATGCGCTTCTCATTTATATGGCCTAGTCTACAATGCCAAAGGTATGTTGGGTTTAAGTCGTTAGATTTAAACCTTTTTGTATTTATGTGATAGATGGGCATTTCAAGGTTTAGAACATAAAGTCCATTTATGAGACTAGCACTACCATAAAAGATCTCATTAAAATAAATAGAACAAATGTTGTTCTTTATTATAAAATGAAATCCTTTCTTGTCCAAACAAGAAACAGAAATAATATTCCTGCTAATGGCAGGTACATGATAACAATTATCAAGTTCTAAAACTAAGCCCGTGGGCAAATTCAAAGTAAATGTCCCTATTGCTAATGCTGCAACTTTTGCTCCGTTGCCTACTCGTAGGTCAACTTCACCTTTAGCCAGCCTTCTACTCCTTGTTAGTCCCTGCACATTTGAACAAATGTGAGAACCACAGCCGGTATCCAATACCCATGAAGTAGTGGTGGTAACATTTACTTCTATCACATAGATACCTGAATTGGAAGCATCACCATGCCCCTTCTTTTTCAGTTCCTCCAAATACGCCTTGCAATTCCGCTTCCAATGACCAGTTTTGTTGCAGTGGAAACATTTTTGCTCTTCTTTAGAAGATGAGCTAGCAACCGATTTGCCTTTACCCGAGTTCTTAACCAGGGTTTTGGATTTCTTGTTTCCACCAACCTTGCCATTACCATGCTTCTTGAATCCCTTCCCCTTTTTGACCATCAAAATGTCACTCCGATTTTTCTTGATGTTTTGCTCAGCAGAGTTGAGCATTCCATGCAATTCGGTTAAGGTCTTCTCAAGACCATGCATATTATAGTTCATGATGAACTGGTCATATGCCGGAGTGAGTGATGCGAGAATCACATCAGTAGCCAACTCTTGACTAATTGGAGATCCAAGTCTTTCCAGGTGATCCCTAAGCCCAATCATCTTGAGCACGTGAGGTCCAACCGGGTTTCCATCAGTAAGCCTTGTGTGAAACAAAGCTTTGGTCGTCTCGAACCTTTCGATCCGTGCTTGTTTCTGAAACAAGTTCTTGAGTTCAATAGAGATGTCATGTGCACGACGATTCAGAAACTGTTTCTGAAGATTAGCTTCCATGATGGTTAACATCAGACAAGTGACATCAACTTCATCACGGACATGCCTTTCATAAGCATCTCTAATGGCTCTAGCAGCATTGGCCGCTGGTTCAGCAGGAATTGGTTGGTCAAGGACATATTCTTTACGCTCTTGTTTGAGAACGATTCTCAGATTCCTATCCCAGTCCATGTAATTTGTTCCATTAAGTTTTTCCTTCTCAAGGATAGATCGCAGTGAAAAAGTTGTGTTGGCAGCCATATTTACTACAACAAATAATGCAAAGAATTTTTAAATAATGCTCAAAAAAATTAACTCCCACTATATTAAATAGAAAGTCCCAAATATAGTGGTCCAAGATCCATATTTCACTAAAATTTAAGTAAGCTTTGGCTTATCACTTAAAAATTAGTTATTTAGGTAAACAACTCTTGTTAATCATATCCTATATGACTCTTGGTTTGTTTGGTCAACATCATATGATTATCCAAACACTCTTTGCTTCAAGGCCCAAAACCATTTTGATGGCCTTGTAAGTCCAAACCAATATTAAGACCCGAGAATGACGATCATTCAAAACATCTTCCTAAGATAGTGTGAAATGCTCTGCTTTGACAGACACATATCACGACTAGCATAGTTTAAATGGTGGTCATATTGGGAAAGCAATTCTAGACTTATAATTAGTCGGGACTAATAATTACACACATGCAGCAATCAAATATTTAAATAAATAATTTAAAACTAGTGCAGTGATATAGCATGATCCCAAAATCTTCATATCTCCTTGACATCTTCAACCTGTGTAGTGTACTACTAAAAATCTACGGGGTTGTAAAACATTACAGGGGATAGTGGGAAACGGCACGCAGGCCGTAAAACAACATAATATAAAACATACATTCAGATCATGCTATACCACCACTTCAAACTGTCCCTGTGACGGAGCAAAATAATTGCGCATGCACGGATTGAAAATTAAATTTTAAAATCCGCAACTAATATGTAATTAATTCGGATCTCATCCGGAAAAAAAAAAAATATTCAATGAATTCTAAAACAATTCGTATTACATATGCACAAATACAGATCATATCTGTAATATAGATTAATACACATATATAACTACGAATAAAATTAATTAACTAAAATTCGAAAATAATTAATTTGTGATTAAATTCGAATTTCCCAGATAACATATCAGTAATATAGATTAATTCCAATATGTTATAATATGGATCTCATCCCAACTAATTTTGTATTCTTCGATCTGAATTAATTTGGCAGATCACTAAATTTGTATAATTGAAGAATAAATTTGTAAAATCAATTCGGATCTCATCCGAAAAACAAGAAGCTAAAACTTCCAAGATTAGATCTAAAAAATATAAACTAGATCTAATTCAATCTTTTATTGATTTCAAATTGGGAAATCAATATATAACACATTCCGAATTTGATACGAATGAAGCAATCTATATTCAGAATAGTTATACACAAAATTATTCCAATTATACAACTTGATAGTATATAACTAGTTATATTCGAAGCAATATATAACATAAATTATACTAGTTATAACTAGTTATATACGAAGCAAAATAAACTTGGTATGAAAGTTATATACGAAGCAATATATAACTTCGTATCAAAGTAATATACGAAGCAATATATACCTAGTTATATTCGGAATCTGAAACAAAAATTATAAGTATCAAATTGGATCTAATTCAAACTCTTGAATTTTCATGTCCATTCAAATCTCTTCCGAATAATTAGGTTGTAGGATTCCATCCAATTCCTAATCTATTCAGATCTGATTTGTAAAATAAATATTATCACAAAACATTCCAAATATTATTGTGAATATATATTGGATCAAGTTCGAATCATTCGAATATCACATCCTTATAAAATTTCGGAATATAACATACACATATAAATTCCGAAATTAATAAATCAATAATTTCGAAATTAATAAAAAAAAATTAATTCCGAAAATAAATCCCAAAATAATCAAATTATAGATTATACATCAAATCGTGTAACCCGAGTATAATAAAGAACCGTAGGCTCTGATACCACTGTTGGGTTTCGGGCAGAAAAACGCAGCGGAATAAACAAAAATTTTTCTACCCAAAAGTAAATGAACGGATCTGAGGTTCTTATTATAAACGAAATTACAAGAATTTAAGAGGGACTTACATAGCAATCTTAATCAAGGATGTCAGACAGTCCGAGAAAACGATCCCGAGCTCTACCGGTATCCACACGCACGTGACTGGATCGGCCGCAGGGAACGTGCTAGCGTTCTCTTCTTTCTTCCTCTCTACTCTAGGTTTGAGAAGTGAATTTTAACTCTTAAAATTCGTGGGTCTCCTTAGCCCTATTTATAAGAGGTGGAAAGAAGGGGTTTTATGGCTAATAAAACCCTTAAAGAGGCCCTAGCCCAATACCATTCGAAACCCTCTTTCGAATTGGGCTAATCAAGCTATTTTAATGTTATTAACAAACATTAATGATCCAAATCACTTAGGTGTGTGACCCTGTAGGTTTATATATTATTGGCAGTGGGCTAGAAATTAATTCGAGCCTCACAAATCATAAGCGGTCTCTAGCAAGGCATTATGACTATCCAAAATATATAAATGTCAATTAAATCTGACATAACCTTTTAATGATTAATTTGTGCTAATAATTCTCTTTTGTCAAACGATATCTTAATTGAGACAAGGTTAGGTCGTGTCATCCTTGTTATTCTCAATTAATATTTCTTGATTACCAAGTAAGATTAATCTTGATCAAATGACACCTCATTTGAGCATGGCCATGCTAATTAATCTTACTTGTCAAGGGGCCCAATAGATATCTTTCTCTCGATTTACAAGAGTGACAAAAACTATCTTGATAATTCACATACTACTACATGGTTCATAATATGTACAATCACCACCTTTATAATTACCCAGTTAAAGATAACATTTAATGGTGTTAATACATATTAATTCTCATGCTAGTAACCATGATTATCTCAAGTATAAGAATATAGCACCTCATCATTATTGAGGACAACACTGATGACATATAACCTAGCAGTGTCCTCAAGTTGGGTCTGTCCAATGAACTTGTTCCCTAACAAGCATCTATGTTATTAACTTGATATCTCTATACCCATGACTAGTGGAATATAGCCATCAGTTAATCCACATACTGGTCTATTAATTATTAATGTCCCAAATTAATAATATTAGACCAGGGACAATTAGAATATTATGTTTATTTTAAAGTGTAGCATTCCACAATTAAGTCACATACTTAATTAGCTACTAAACAGAATATTCAGGGACTAAATATTAATAAAGAAAACTCACAATAATAATTAACATAAAATGAGTTTGTGACTTTATCAATTAATGAGCATTAAATATTTATTGATAAATCATAAACTATGATTGTCCTAGGGCATATTTCCAACAGTTTCTTGGTCCTCTGCCGGTACTTCTGGATTCAAAGGAACCAGAAGAGGAACACCTTTTGCTGCTCAAACCGCGGTAATAAATGCTCTTCGTAAAGTAATGAATCGAGATATGCTACGAGCTGAAGTATTTATAAAAGGTCCCGGTCTCGGAAGAGATGCAGCATTACGAGCTATTCATAGAAGCGGTCTACTATTAACTTTTATAAGGGATATAACCCCTATGCCACACAATGGCTGTAGACCCCCCAAAAAACGACGTGTGTAGAAATCAAAAGTGAACCTATATCAAGAGAAATAGAAGATTCACTAATATACTAAATCAAAATTTTTATGGTTCGAGAGAAAGTAGCAGTATCTACTCGGACACGACAGTGGAAATGTGTTGAATCAAGAATAGACAGAGTAAACGCCTTTTTTATGGCCGCTTTATCCTATCTCCACTTATAAAAGGTCAAGCCGATACAATAGGAATTGCGATGCGAAGAGCTTTACTGGGAGAAATAGAAGGGACATGTATCACACGTGTAAAATCTGAGAAAGCCTCGCATGAGTATTCTACCATAGGCGGGATTCAAGAATCGATACATGAGATTTTAATGAATTTGAAAGAAATTGTATTGAGGAGCAATCAATATGGAACTTGTGATGCGTCTATTTGTATCAAGGGACCTCGACATGTAACTGCCCAAGATATAATATTACCCCCTCATGTACAAATCGTTGATAACACACAACATATAGCTTGGTTGACAGAACCTATTGATTTTTTTATTGGATTAAAAATAGAGAGAAATCGCGGATATTTCAACAAAGCGGTCCTTCACTTTGACGATGGAATTTATCCTATAGATGCTCTATTCATGCCGGTTCAAAATGCAAATCATAGTATTCATTCTTATGGGAATGAAAAACAAGAGATACTTTTTTTGGAAATATGGACAAATGGAAGTTTAACACCAAAAGAAGCACTTCATGAAGCCGCCCGAATCTTGATTGATTTCTTTATTCCTTTTTTCCATATGGAAGAAGAAAACTTATATTTAGCGGATGCGGAACACAAAATTCCCCTATCCTCCCTTATCTTTTATAATAAAGTGACTAAACTTATAAAAAAAAACTTTCATTGAAATTAATATTTATTGACCAATTAGAATTCCCTCCCAAGATATATAATTGCTTGAAAAAGTCAAATATATTTACATTATTTGATCTTTTTAATCACAAACAAGAATATCTTTTAAAAATAGAACATTTTCAACTAGAAGATATAAAAAACATATTGGGGATTCTAGGAAAATATTTTGTACTTTATTTATAAGAAACTTAGGTTTAATTAATAAATTAATAAAAAAAACTTTTTATAAAATATTTTTTAGTCTAGAATTTCATTTTTTCATCACTATGAATTAAGAGAATAGAAACTGAGGACGGGTATTTAAGTATAAAAATTATGCGATGAATGATCTCAATTTTAGATACAAAGAGTAGTGCCCATTTGATATACCTGCGAGTTTTGTGTTTTATTTAATCAAACAGTCACATGTGTAATAATAGAAGCTTTTCCTAAAATATTGGGATGTTTCTACTTGGACTGTTTTACCAGACTTAGCTTGGAGAATTATAAAATACACAGATACCAGACATTTATTATACCAGATCACACTAGCAAATTTCAATCCAAGTGAAAACATTCATAGTCGCATAGTTACTAAAATATGCAATGTCACATTTTTATTTAGAAGGTCTTTCAAAAAACTTACTAAAATGAACTCATTTACAAAAATATAAATAAAATCTACCATGAACAATTGAGTATAGTGTCATGGTCACTATTGTAGTTGTTTGCATAGCTCTAATGTTAGGATTTCTCTGTTTATTCCAATAATAAACATAATAAAAGGGGTCTAATTCTGACTATTAGTCATCTAATTCTAAAAATCAGAAGATTTTAAAAGTTGTTTTCTGTTTTAAGTTTATGAATAGTCACCACAATTAAAAGGTCATATTTTCATAAACACCTTTTATTTTTCACTTCAGTATTTTCTTCAACTTTAAACGTCCTTATTCATTAACTTTACAAGTCACACCCAAACGAGGCTATTGCACACATCCACTTTAATGATTTCAAAATTTTCTTAAATAAGAATAAATATACTACGTATTATGGAATTCCAAAGAGTAAATTCCCCAAATGAGACTAAAACTATGGAAAATTGCAAACTTAGGACATCCGTGTTTTTTAGGATTTCAGTAGGACAAAAATATAGTAGATGGACAAAATTAACCCTGCAAACAAAAGAATAATATGGAGTACTTCGTAAAATCCAAGGCTTTCTCGTGACCCCCTGCAACTAGACGTACACCACCAACATCTGCGCATGCTCGATGCCGTCCAAGCGGTCGCAATTGCCAGTTGACGAGACCATCGCCGCCGCTAGGTGAGACAGTCGCCGCCGCCAGGTGAGACAACCGCCACCGCCATGTGAGACCGCCACCGCCACCGCCATCTCCGCCAAAGAGACCGCCGCCTGCTTATCCGCCAGGAGAGACTGCCGTAGCACACCTCTTGCAAGGCTGCTTGATGCCCTCCGACGAGAATGGTGCCAACATGTCATCCGCCGCAACTGAATTATCCTATGGAGGTGTCGGCATCTTTTCGGGTGCAGATGGACTATGTTGCAAATGCCTCTCTAGAATGCCATCGGGATAAATAGAATGACAAAAACATGGCATATTTGAATCTAAACATGACATTTCTTCAGACATAAGAAAATGCCACCGGTATAAAAAGAATGACAAAAACATGGACATGATGTAAAAACATGACATTTTTGGATCAAAACATGACATTTTTAAAACATGACATTTTTGGATCAAAACATGACATTTTTCAGACATAAGAAAATGCCATTAGGACAAAAAAGAATGACAAAAACATGCCAGGATGCAAGAACATGTCATTTTTTATCTACACATGACATTTTTTAGAGATAAGAACAGGGGCGGAGCCAGGGGGTCAGGGTGGTCAGCCGACCCCGCTGAAAGTTCAAGAATGTAGAGCTCTGAAATTCCTTCGATTTGATATATTATGTGTCACATAACTCATTACAAGTAAAAAGTTATGACTTCTGGAAAAATCAGCACCATCTTAACTTAAAATAAGCAAAATCTGAATATGAAACACCTTAAATTACCATTTATCTCAGCTATATCTGAAACATTTAACTTGAGTATTGTATAATGATTATCCATCATTTTGATACTGTATATAATTAAATTTTGACCCTCTCACACATTTTTCTGGCTCCGCCCCTGCATAAGAATGCCATAATTTGTCAAAAATGTCAAAATCATGACATTCTCAAAGAGGTAATATTGCCCATCTCCAAAAAAAGTGCCGTAATATGGTATTATTTAACAAGTTAATATGAGAGGCTATTTTCCATCAAAAAGTTAATAATATACCAAGTGCATTTTTTAATTAAAGCTCAATTCCACTTTGTTGTTGAGGAGTTTTCTCTCTAGGGCTTCGACTATGTCGAAGATCGGCTTTGCTATCCCTTTGTCGCTGGTGCTCGGCTGGAGTCCAGGTTAGACGCGGAGGGCGGAGATCGGTGGAAGAGGGCGGATTCGCTGTCATGGCTCGAGGAGATCGGCGATGTGGTCAAGATTCGAGGATGCGGCGTTGTTGTCGTTGGAGAAGATTGGCGTCGCCTATCCGTTTACTCTGGTCACACGGAGCAGAGATGATTTTTGTTATGCAGGGACGGAGGATTGATGCATGATCTTTGGCAGCCAAAGGCCATGGAGGATCAATTAGCATGGTACCGGTGGTACGACCTCCTCCTGAACCATCACCATGGGATGTACGAGGTGCTAGAGTTCGTGAAAGTTTTTCTTGTAATTTTTATCTGTTTGTTATTTGTTTTCTTGTGTTCACTTTTGTTGTTGGTTTTGACAGTTTGTTTGAGTTTTTGTCTCTTTTTATGTCATTGGGTATGGTTGGATCTATGAGAACAAGTTTGACTGTGTCAAACCCACTACATGGTTAGCGATTCGTGTTGCTCTCTCAGGGGTGACCGTCTCAAAGTTTCACCATAGGGTTACAGTCGTAGTTGTTGGAGTTTCAGTTGGTGTCAGTTTTATTTTTCCATGTAATGATCCTGAATCTTTTGATATGAATAGAGGTCTGTTTTGATGATAAAAAAAATTAAAGCTCAATTCCTTAAAATTTCAAACTGCTCTGGCTGGAGCTTCGAATCTAAAAACTAAACAAATAAACTAATTGAAAATTGTAATAAAAGAAAGAGCAGCAGAAAACAGGGGAGAAGGAGAGGAGAGGAGAGGAGAGAAGAGAAGAGAAGAGAAGAGAAGAGAAGGAGAAGAAAGAAGAAGCTGAAGAGCATCCACAATCCTATGGTGTTAATAGCTTAAATTTTGACACGTGGCCACTAATATATGGATCTGTCCTTCACATCACGTTGGAGTCATTTAAACCCACATTCACTCCCAGAATTCATGCGCAATGCTGGATGTCTAACAACCCATAGTTTACCAACGTTTAAAAAAGAAAATTGTAAGAGCATCTTTAATGCATGAGTGTCTAGTCTAAAAAAGCTATGCCAAATGTCAAATTATTAAAGGACTTTCAATCCACATGTTATATAGTGAAGTGAATAGACATAAATATATAAATGAAGTCTCCAATGCAAAAAGTTCCAGACCGAAGTTCCATATCCATGCGAAATTAATTTAGTAAATTGGATAAATTTAATAAATGATTTTTAACCATTTTCTTTTAAAAGTTATGTTTCAACATAATAGATGGATCCATTCTTGGTTCTTCCGCCCTATGTTTTTACTTTTTACTACATATTAAAGTTGGATCAATCATTCTGATAATATTTTTATATAATATTATTCTTTTATATAATATTTTACATACTACTTCGTATTTTACTTTTATTCAATATTTTACTGCTTTTCATGCGATCAAGAAGAGAACACGGATTTTCCTAATTCCTATGGACACCGATTATATATCATATACTTCGTATATACGATAGTATTATATATGTATATATTACTAGGAGGATTGCAGAGAATTCTTGTATATATGCAGAGTATTACGGAGTAGAAACGAGATTATAGGCATTATTGTTCCTTTCCCATGTTTTTGCCGAAAAAGAAGCCTTATTTACGTGAGATATCAAGTTCATATGCCTTTCTACACATAGACATTATCCCTTCACACCGTTTAATTTATTTTTGCCATGTCAGCCATGGACTACACGCATTGGAGGTAAAAACAATTACTCCAAGTCTAATTTGATGATGTGGCAAACATTATCAAGATAGACTAGACATCAATGCATTGTGGATGCTCTAAGTGGATGTGAAATGAGAATGAACGAAATACGGAGAAAGATATAGTGCGTTTCTACTTAGGGGTGGGCAAAAATACCGAAATATCGGTATACCGCACTTACCGTACCGAAAAATACCGGAAAATACCGAAATATTGGTATACCGTCATTTTCGGTACGGTATCATACCGTACCGGTCTATTTCGGTACGGTAACGGTATATGTTTTCAAATACCGCGGTATACCGGTATAATACCGTACCGACTCCCTACTCAACAATTACTTTTAATTCTAATATATTGTAGAAATCCATTACAATTTTGAAGCCCAAAATTAATATTTAAGTTGGTTACAAATACAAAAATACAAAAATAAAGGTCCAATTTCTCAAACCCACTATAACCTTATAGGCTTCTACTACGCTAACCTTAAATAACTAATGAGTAATGTACAAATGCCAAGAAACAAGTCCATCTTGTTCCAAGACCTTGCAAGTCGTGATGGTTGGGCCGCTAAGTAGCTGACGAGTGAAGATATATACACTTATGTGACAAGTGTATCTACATAGGGATTCAGCGAGTCGAGACACACAACTTTGTCCGAAAGTCTTATTCAATTTTTAAAAAATTATAAATGATTTTATATCCATGTTGTTTGAATAGTTTTATTTATTTTTGTTAGAGATCACTATTGATTTAATTATATCTATATTGTTCAAGTTATTTTAGGAGAATGTGTTACTTTTTAATATGTGGTATGTTGAACTGCTTAAATATACTAATAATAATTATTGTTCAATATTGAATTGACATCAATAGATTATTAATTGTATTTCGTAACATTTTAATAATAGATTTAATATGTCGCTAGTAATAATGATTTAGTATATTTCGTTAGTCTATGATAATTTTTTGTATTGGGAGACATGCACGGTAATTTACCGATACCGTACCGTTACCGAACCGAAACTTCGGTATACCGAAATGCGGTATA